TGTCCTACCTCCTGGGAACTTCAAGAGCTGCACAGGTCATGGCACACATACTCTTCCCTGGTCCTCCCAGAGCATTTGAGCAGGAGCCTCTCTCCATCACATGTACCCTTCCCTTTTGCCCTCTTCCTGTACCCATCAGGGGACAGTTGTCCCAGTTTATTGGAATAAAGGATATGGGCTCTTCGGGTCATGCAGGTGAGGCCACACCTGGTGACTTTGCCCTTCCCCTTCCTGCACCTCCATGCACCCCTCCACAAAAGCTGAGGAGGCCAAAGCCAATGAACCAAAAGCCATGGTTTCAGCCCTGGACCAGTCACAATTGCCCTGTTGGTGCCAGTGGATGCCCTGTTGGTGCCAATTGATGCCCTGATGTCCTGTGCCACCAGGCAAAGTCTGCCCAGCCTTGGTATCTCCTCCTATACTCCAAAACACCTCCACTCACCCTGTGTGGCCACCCTGAGAAGTACGTGACAGATGTGAATGAGCAGCTTTGTCAGCATTACATACTGTGGCACCAAAAAGGGTATCACACTGGATCACAGCCAGGGCCTCACAGAGCAGGAGGCAAAGGAAGTCCCAGGGTAAAAAATACCTGCGACATATATTGAAAGAGAAATGTGTGTTGCTGGTGTACAAAAACTCTCACCAAGCAATAAAGAGGGAAGAAACCAGAGAAAAATGGGAAACCAACATGAATAGGCAAATCACAAACCAAGAAATCCAAAAGGTCCTGGACCTCTTGTGTAATAACAAGTGTTAATGCTTAACCCTTACTGAAAACCAAAACCTGCTTTTACTTCACATGCAGATACCATTCAGCCCTCTAATCCAACCAATGAGGCAAAGCCCATCCCTATCCTCACTTCACAGTTGAGGAAATGAAGGCCCAGTGGCATTTCACTGACTTAGCCCACATCACACAGCTCGTGGTGCCAGAGAAGATTCTCCCAGGCAATCGGATAAAACACGACCTCGCTCAGAGCACAGCTCTGTAAATCAAAATACCATCTCTTCCCCTATCAAAGTACTGTATTAATGTTTGACAACACTCAAGTGTTGGTGTGGGTGCCAGCAAACACACACTTTTGTGTAATGTTGGTCCAATCTTTTGGGAAAGAAATTTACCAATATCCATGGACATCTTGCATGTATCACCTGAAGGGAAGCTCATCCCATAGATATTCTCACAGGCCTGACAATCAAATCCCAGCTCCTTCATTTTTTAGCTGTGAAACCTCAGTCTGTCAGTGCAGCAGACCTGAGTGTCCACAGGAGAAATGGGGGACAAGAAAATGGGGGCCCTGGAAGAGGAGAGGGCCAGGCTGCATCTAGGAGCAATGTCGAAAGACATGAGAGATGACATAGGCATTAAGAGAAATGACATTTAAAGCAATAATTTCAAAATCAAAATTAAAGAGAAAATAAATGACAAAATGTCAACATTTCCAATAAACCTAGATCCTGTTTCCTGCCTCACAGCCCCAGCCCTCTGCCAGACTCTGGCAGTTTTCCAGGCCGACCACTCCCCCAATCCCATGACCACATCTCTTTGGCACTTAGGCTCCCATTCAGGAGTGGGTCAAAGATCAGAAACCAGGGAGATGAGAAGTTGGGAGCACAGCAGTGAGGTCCGCAATCCCTTGCCCCTGCTCCCCAATTCCAGCTGGGCCTACAAGCACCAGGCAGCATGCCTAGGCAATGGTAGCCTTGACTACAGCCTTCCAGATGCCTGACTGCTAACACAGAGAAGATACAGAGGGAATGGGAGACAGCAGGCTGCAGGTGAGGGACCGAGGAGACCAGAAAATGTAAGAGGCCTGGGTGGGGGGAAAGTTCTACCTGTCCTGACTTAGCTCCTCCCTGATCCCTGTTCAAGCCTGCGAGGGAGCCGCATCTACTTGATGTCAAAGTGAGAAATCTCCTCCCTCAGTCCCAAGCCAGGTCCTCAGTCCCAAGCCAGGTCCTCAGTCCCAAGCCAGGAGAAACACTCACAAATGGGACCATGGAGCATGTCCCCAAGGAGGTTCAGGTCATTCCCCAACTTAGTTACAAGGTACATAAGATTCTGAACACAAGAAAGGTGGCTCCTGCCCCTGGCCAGCAAGTGGACACCACCACCCAACAAGCCTCTCCAGAAACCCACCAGCTGCCCTCCAGAGAGGACTTAGGGCTCACAGTGCCCTTTCAGCCAGACCACTGACAAGCCATCTCTCTCTGACACCGTGGAACCCCGGCAGGTGACCCCAGAGAAGCCTCCCTCCCTTTCTAAGGAGGTGCTCAGGAGCCCCCCCTCACCCGCTCCCCCGGGGACTCAGGTGGTTTAGCGTGTTTCCCATGAGGAAAGGGACAGGTGGAGAGGAAGGACGCAGGCTGCTGAACATCAGGAATGCTGACAGCCAGCTGTGGCAGAGAAAATGTCCTCAGTCACAGCAAGAGAGAGACAAGGCCCTGGAGTGGCGAGGCTGAGGCAAGACAGGTCCTCAGCATGAGAGCAGAGGTGACATAGGACAACAATGGAGAGACAGAGTCCTGGGGCCAAGAGGACCTGAGAAAGGGAAGGAGAGACGTTAAAGAGAAGGCACACCGAGAGGACCAGGTGCAGGCACCAGGAGTCACTCACTGTCCCTCACTGCCCACAAGAGACACTCAGCAGCCCCCGAGGTGCTCATAGGATGCAGAGAAGGTGCCCTTTGTCTTTTTCAGGAAAGATGCTCAGAAATGAGAATGCCAAGGACAGGCAGACTGGCCAGGCGTCCAAGGGCACCTTCAAGTTGGACACACTCTCCAGTCCGAGCTGTGGATGCCAGCAGCCGTGCTCCCCAGGGGTTCACATCAGGGGTGAATTTTAAGCTAACCCTTGCCGAGCTCAGGTTTAGGGCCTGCCCTGCCTGCCCTGCCCTGCAGAGTTACCATTCAAGACAGCAAAGGCACTGTGAACCAGCTCTTGGGGCAAGAGTGGGACCCCACAGGTCTCCCCACAGGTCTTCCCTGGTCCAGTGCACCCATACTCCTTGGGAGTGGCTTCTGTTTCCTGCTTTACTGTCTCTGTAACCACAGCAGAACTAGCCCTGTGTTTGAGACTCCCTCCCAGCTTTTGGACTCCCACTCCCTGAAAGCCTCCATGAGGAAGTTCTATGGAGGAGCACAATTCTCCCACCCCAGGGTCACCTCCCAGGAGATACAGAGAGAGCCTGTATGCCGGGTTCCAGGAAAAGAGGGAGGTGGAGGCCGAGCAGGAGGAATTCAAGGGTGAGGTGGGCCTCAAGCCCCATAAGGAGAAGCAGATAGAGTCTGAAGATGTTTGCTTGCTGCTGATCTCAAACTTCTAGAAGAATGTGTTCAACAGAAGAGGTCAGATCTGGAAAAAGAAGCAGCAATCAATCACTGGACAGATTGATTGGACGAGGAGGACTGGAGTTAGGCCACACCCTCTTCCTGCCTTGCCTGGGGGGGCAGTGTTGGGACTAGGATTTAGATGACATTAAACATCTGGATTTAATAACTTTTCTCACAATGACAGCATGAATTTGGAGAGACCTGGAGACCATGCTATGAGACAACCCTGTGCCACTCTGGGCTCAGTGCAGGGCTTGCCCTCCCAACAAGCAGGATGGAAGCTGGTAAAGGGTTAGTCATAGCTGCAGATGTCAAAACTGGGCCAGGCCAGAATGACAGAGGAGAAGGAATTCAATATGAGTGAACGCCAAGCTCCACATTTTCCCAACCAAGGTCACGTGGCATGAACATGAAAGAGACAGATTTGCTTCAGAGCAACACGTGGAGCAAAGAGCTGGGCCTTTTGGGGGCCCACACGTCTCCTGGGGGATGCGATGCCTGGGACATGGGCATACCCCAGCCACATGGGACTCCCTCTGGCAGCCTCTCTGAGCACCTTCCCCTGGGACAGGGCAGACCTGCCATGGCCCTGCCACTTCCCAGGCTGCACACCAAAGAGCCAGAAGAAATCCAAGTCCAAGGGCGGAGATTGGTAAGGACACCCTGACTACTGTGCCATCAGGGCTGGCATGTCCCACTTCCTCAGGTGGCCTTTGCTCTGTGGGACCAGCTGGGCCTGATGCCAAATCCTTGCCCAGCTTGGCATTCCCCACTTTCTCCTCCCCACTCTGCAGAGTCCTCTGCTGGTCACCATGAGCATGGGGGAAGGCCAGCCCCACAGGAGCCGTGCAGGAGGGGGTCCTCTGCCAGGCAGCCCTAAGAACCGTGGTCTCCCAGGTCCCAGCCCAAGAGCAGGCATTCTGAGCAGGGTGCAGGGCTGAGGGGAGGCATCTGGGATGGCTCTGGAGGAAGAACATTTAAGCAGGTGGCCAGATCACAGCCAAGCTGGCCCTTTTGTGGCTAAGGACACCACACACTGCACCAGCACATGTTCTCAGTGCTTCACACAAGAATCACAGTCCGCTCTCACAATAGGCAAGAAAAGAGGAATTGTCATTATCCCCTTCTTACAGCTGAGGAAGCTCAGGACCCTTGAGGCTGTCGGCGTGGATCCAGGTTCAAACTGCAGCTGTAGACCCTAAGTGGCGGCCCCAAGCCCAAAGCACTAGGACCCTTCAATTCCCATTAGAGAATAAGCTAGCATGGCCAGGGGACAGAGACCCACACCAGTTGACCTGGAGGTGATGTCACAGTGGAGGGACCACTTCCTGCTTTCCCACCATCCCCACACTGTGGCACCTGGCCAGCAGAGCCCATCCATAGCTTCTCCCAATTTGGGTCTTGGTTCCCCATGAGGTGACAGCAGTCTAGGGCCAAACAAAAGATGTGTGCTTGTGTCCTGGCCAAGAAGGAACAAGCCCCCAGGAAGCCAGGCTTCAGCTGTCGGCGACCCCAGCTGCCACAGGAGATCTACTGGGCAGAGAAGAGGAGACTCCAGAGAAGATGGGGGATTCCTGCGGAGCAGGAGCCCTGTACTTGGGTGTATGCTCCAGGAAAAGAATTTACCAGAACAAGATTAACAAGATCACCAGGACACACACCCCTTTCCTGTGGGGCCCTGAGACAGAGCTGACCTCCCAATTTATATTTATTTTGAATTTTGAAGAACAAATATATGGACAATGAGATCCCACACCCCAAAGGGACACAGGAAGTTCAGCCGGAAATCCAAGTCCAAGGGCGGAGACTGGTAAGGACACCCTGACCACTGCGGCATCAGGGCTGGCCCAGGAGGGGACAGCAAGCGGCCAGGTAAGTCTTCATTCTCAACCAGAAATTCAGCCACGGTTGCTCCAGGCGGCCTGATGGCAGAGGCTGGGCGGCTCAGCTAGCAACTTAAGCATGGGTTTAATCAGGAGGGTGTTTCAGGGACCAGGATTTGGGCTAGGCGGGACTCCAGCATCACCCTTCAGAGGTTTATCTCAGTCACCATGATGGGTGGGTGGCTTGTCTGGCCTGTCCCACACTGGGCCCAGCCTGGGCTGCCACCCTGGTTCCAAGAACAGCAGGACGTGGCACAGACTGGCACACATCTCATGAGGGCCATATATGACGGAGGGAAAGTCTCTGCACAGAGAAGGTTTCACTGCCACCAGCCACACCCTGTGGCACATGGTCCTGACCTCCTCAGCCTTCCGCCTGCCTCCCAGATGCCCAGAGCAGCCTCACCCTCTTCCTGTCCCCACGGGGAGAATTCAGCCTCCCGGAACACCTCCTCCTCCCCAGATCAACCACACATGGTGGCCAGGAGTACCTGTTACTTTAGGGCCCTCCGTTTAACCTAAAAATTCATTCTTTCTCAGCAATGCTTTAAAATAAAGACCCCAAGAGTCATAGGGGAAGCATGACAAAGTTGTGAGGGTGGACTGAACAGCAGGTCAAGTATTTTTACAGAAAAGCCAGAATCTCGCTTATGCACAGTGCAGAAACTCTGCCCAAGGTCCAGAGCCTGGAATGTGCAGGTAGCCCTTGGGAATCAAGCTCTTGAAAACCAGCCGTACTGTGTGAAGCCAGAGGCCACAGGCTGCATCCTGTGGTCTAGAGGCTGTCCATGTTCAGGGCAGAGATGCACCCACATGCCATGGGTTTGGGTGGCACAGGGCCCCGATGTCCATGGTCCCGGCCTAGGGCCAAGTCCACAGGCCAGCCAAGTCCAGGGCCACAGCTCCTCACTCAGGGGCTGCACCAGAACAACCACAGCAGCTGGGGCGCCGCAGAGACTGCATAACAGCACGCAGCGGGCCCCTGCGGCCCTCAGTGGACAGGCTGTCCTCGCTGGCTGGCAGTCGCTGCAGCTGTTCAAACTGCATCTCCAGGTGCTTCTGGATGGCCACGCCCAGCACCTCAGGGTCCACCGAGGCTCCATACACCTCCCACGTCATGCCCTCGGCATCCCACCGGACATCCCGCACAGGGGACAATGCTTCCTCTAGGCTGGGCCCCAGCGTTACCTCTGGGAACATGTGCAGGGCCGAGGCTGCCAGGGACGGGCTGGTGGCCACTGCCTTGCAAGCTGCTGCTGGGGCCACCTGCACACCAGCATCCTGGGCTGAGGCCAGTGCAGGTGCCAGGTCGCTGGCAGAAGTCATGGTCCACACATCCTTGGTCCTGCAGCCAGGCTCTGTGGCTGGCACTGCGGGGCCCCATGGGTGGGCACAGCAGTGGGTGTGCCCCGGGAGCAGCCCAGGTGCCATACAGTGAAACCTCACACCATGCTGAGCCTGCAGCCCGGACTCACTCACTGATGCCACCAATTTGGGAAAGGCCAGTATCCCTGTGGCAGGCATGGCGTGGCAGCAGCTGTTGGTCGCCACCTCTCTCATGCTGCAGAGCAGGGCAGCTGGAGGCAGAGCGTGGCAGGAGGCAGTGGCCAGATGTCCAGTGGTTTTGGACCCAGCCTGAAGACTGTCACTGAAGGAAACTTTGTCCACCAGCTCTGACGGTGGCTTCCATGCTTGACTGTCCCCCAGCATCCAGGCTGAGTTAGAAGTCCCATCTTCTGGAGCCACGTCCTGTCCCACAGCTGCAGGGGCTGGGCCAACCTGGTCAGAAACATCTTCGGGCTGAAGCTGAGCTTTGTGCACTGGGGAGCCACCACCAAGAGCCGAGCAGCTAAGGCTGGCCTTCCGGGCACCACCATGCCCCCTGGTCTGAACACTACGGGCCAGGTCTGAGTGGCTCCTCTGCACTGCAGCCACACTGGGGGCCCGCAGGCGGCCAAGGTCCCCACTGCCCATCATGGACACATTGCCCACTGTGCTGCTCCGCCAGTGGCCCACAGCCCTCGGCTGGGGGCTAGGAACCTGGGGGCTGGGGACCTGGGGGCTGGGGACCTGGGCTTGCGCTGCTGGGCTCTCAGGTGGGTGCCCCTCTTCCTCTGGAGCCTGCGGTCCAATGCTGGCCTCACCCTGTTGGGTCTGCCACACAGTGGTGCTGGAACTCTTGTGGAGCTCTGGCTTCTGCCCATGGCCTTCACACAGCAGGCTGGAAGAGCTCTGGGACAAAGGCTGCAGACGGGGGCTCTGGGGTGCCCTGGAACCTGGCTCAGGGTGGCTGGCGCTCATGGTTGCCTGCAGGAGAGAAAAGGAAGGGAAGGAGTTAAGCAGGGGGTCAACTCTTCCGTCAGACTCTGAGCTCAGTCGTGCCGGGCACACTGGGGCCACAGCTTCAGTGCCAGCCTGCCTGACTGGTCAGCGCCATAAGCAATCTATACTCCCAGTCAAAGCCATCCACATTATCCATGAGGACAACACTGCAAATGTGTCCTATCAGCACCCCTGGAGCAGTGTCCTGGAGACTTCCCACTGCGCTGGCTGATAACTCTTTACTGGCCAGGTTACCGGGGAGCAGATGGGGGTCCCAGGGGAGAAACCAGGTCCCCCAGGGCTGGGACTGCAGCACTGGGGGCAAGGGCTTTGGGACAATGGCTCAGACAATCAGCACTGAAGTGCTGCAGAATCTTAGCAGTTAGGACAGCGGGGCTGGCCAACACTAGCCTGGGCCTCCCAGACTGGCAGCATCTGTCTCACCATGGCCTGAGACCTCTGGGCACAGAGCGAGGGATCCGAGTTTTGCGAGATGAGACAGAGCACACACAGAGAAACACCTGGGGTTGTACCCAATCCGCTCTGGCTTGGCCTGGCTGTGCTGTCCAGCTCTGACAGTCGGTATCAGTGCAAGGGGACAGGGTTCCCTGACATCTCTAGCTCCAAAGGCAGAGAGAGGCCCCACCCAACAGCTCTCATTCCTTCCACAGCCATCTTCTGAGCTCCTACCCTGCCCTGGCTGCCCGCTGAGCTGGCTCTGCAGCTGGGCCACATGGGATCGACTTCAATCTGGCAGCAGTGAATTCAGATGCCCACCCAGCACCAACTATCAGACATGCCCTCCACATTTCAACTCCCTCTTGCCCGGTGTGCTGTGCCCTCCTGCCCTCTCCCTGCCACTGCTGCTGTCCCCTCTTCAGGCCACAAAGAGCCCCCTGGAGATGTGCACTGACCCAGCATAACCAAGTCAGCACACCATCTCCTCTGCCACCTGTGTCTCCTTCTGGGAGCCTTCGCTGGACCTCCCAGCAGGGCTGCCCTATCCCTGCTGAGCACTATCAGGCCCAGATGGAACGGGCTGCCCTCCAGCCTCCCCACCAGCTGTAAGCTGGCAAAGCCAGCCTTGTGGCCTATTCCCTACCACCTGACCAGCTCCCATCACTGAACTGCTGTGTGCCTGATAAAGAGAACGAGCCGGTGAAAGGACAGACCACTCCGGAGCAGACTGAGTGCCCACATGGGTCCAAGGCGGGCCCCGTGAGGCAGTGAGCTAGCTCCCGGCAGGGGTGACCCAAGAGGCTTTCCTGAGGCCCAGGTGTGGAAGTCAGAACTAGAGGGACAGGGAGACACAAGGTGCAGGTAAAGGAATGGGCAGGCAGAAAGCAAGAGGTAGGGGTTCAGAGGGGCAGGGAAACTGTGGGCCAGGAGAACAGCAGGACCCAGATGGTGCCCCAGCTACAGCTGTGCACGAGGAAGATCATTCAGAGACACCCAGCTAGGCCGGATAGGCTGGAGAAACAGGGCAAGTATAGGAGGAGCAGCTGCAGTTTGGGTAATCCCGGCCCTGCCCTCCCACCCGGGCTGATAAGGTCTGCCAGGAAACCACCCTCCCTGGCCAGGCAAGCAAGGCTATCGAAAGTGAGCGAGGAGGGGCTCCTGGAGCCAGTTTCATGTCCTGCAAACATCTTGCAGTTGTGCACACAAGAGACAGCTGGTAGCTGCTGGGCCAATGGCAAAGCTGGTTCTGGACTATGGGCTCAAACTCCACACAGTGGAAAGGTTCTGCCCACATTCCTCAGTCATAAGAGGCTCCTGAGCATCTGATAGGCCACTATAGTGGCCAAGAAACTGCATTTCTGATTTTATTTGAAACTTAAGTCATCTAGATTTAACTGGTCACATGTGGCGAGTGGCTGCCCTGCCGGACCATGCCCAGTGTGATAAGGAGTGTCCTATCCCAGCTGCATCTTGGGGCTGAAGCCAGACTGGTCCCAGAAGAGGGAGGAAAGGGCTGAGTGGCCAGGCGCTGCTACTGAGATGTCTTAAGATGGACAGATAAACAGAGGAGGGCACTAACAGCTCCCTGCACCCGACACTCACCATGTGCCAGGCACATGCCACATTCTTTGCAAACAGTGTCTAGCTTAATTGTCAGAGCAAGGAATCCTATGGTCACCAACACCTTTTGGCACAGAGATACCCAGCCACAGGTCCAAGGACCCCTGGAGGCCCCATCAGGACAGCCCTGGGTGGAGCCCCACACTTTAGACCCTCCTAGGGAGCAGGCAAGAGCCAGGGCAGCCCTTGGCCTTGTAAGGACACAGGTGGGACAAGACCCAGTGAGAAGCCATCAGTGCTGGGAGTCCTGCTCTGACTGCTCCACCAGAGAGATCAGTGACCATGGGAGCCCCACTGAGGGCTATTTATCTACTGGTTCCTCTCTATATTCTACCACCCCACAAATGGCAGGTGACAAAGTGAGCAGTTTAAAAAAAAAAAAAGAATATCAAAGAGCCCAAGGTTGAAAGTGGCTGATTCAGAACTCAGCAGGACTTCTCTTGCAACCTGGCCTGCCCAGCCCTGGGAGAGACAGCACTTCAAGGAAGTCCCTCTAGGTCACCCTGGAGAGAGGAGGCTTCCCCTGCACCCTGTCACAGCTCCCTGTCTCCTTGGGCTGGAACAGGGAGAGAGCTCTGTGCTTGGCCCCACATGCATGTAGAGGAAGGGGCATATGGGCCACTGCTTCCAGCACTATCTTTCCCCGCTCCTATAAATGTGACCTTAGGTGGACACCTCACTTCTCTGAGCCTCAGTTTCCCCAATCTGAGCCTCCACATTGCAGGGCTGTTGTGAAGACTATAAACTCAACAGCATATGGACTGTGATTATCATTTTCTCTTCTCCACTGTGAGCAGCTGTGGCTCGAGGGATTTCTGGGGCTAGGACAGGGGTGGGGGACAGTAAGGCCCTTTTAGGAAGCCACCAGAAGGCCCCACAGGTGAGCCTGGTCTTGCTGCCCACCCTTGCTACCTGCATCCCATCCTAGGGCCTGGTCATCACTACTGTCCCCACCACCATGCTGTTCCCCAGATCCTACTTTGGACCACAGTCGAAGGATTAGCACACTCACGACTTTGGAGTCTGCTCACCGAGTGCCCACCTGCCTTCACCATGCTGGGAAAGGCCTGGTTTCTCCAGAAGAGACCCCAGGAAGACGTTTCAGCACAGACAAAGCACAAGCACACAGAAGCACCTAAGAACACTAGCATCCTTCTGGCTCCCCCCAGGTGATGCCAAAGTTGTGATGGCTGTGGCCAGTGTTCTGTGGCCAAAGCTAAGCTGCAACTACAGGACTACCCAGCTTCACACGCAGCTGTCAATCCAGGTCATTTTAAGGAAAAGCCCCAGTTGTGTAGAAATGTCTAGACTGCCCAGCCAGACTGCTGTGCTTATTGACTTGGTCATATGGTCCATTCTCACCCCAGCAGAGGAGCCCCGAGCTTTTCATGGAGCCCAGGAGGACTACCAAGGCTCCCATCTCACACCACACTGTGTCCCCTCTTGGTACGCAGCAGGCATCTGGATGACGACTTCTGCATCCAGCAAATCACAATGGGAAAAGCAAAGCCACAGGGTTGGGAGGGCAAACTGATCATATGACAAGATGCAGAACTTACCCTCAGGGGCTAGGTAGGGATACACATCCCACAGATCCTCCACTGTGGTGGGGGCTTGACAACCTCCAGCAGGTGGTTTAATCCATCCCAGAAGCAAAGGGGGCCTGGCACAGCCAAAGCTAGGCAATGCAGCAGGGAGAATCTGAGAAATGGGGTGCTCGCAGGGGGCCAGACCTGCCCATCACAGAGAGGTCTAAGGTGCCTTTGGACAGCACACCTCGGTCTCCAGCAGTGCCAGGAAAGCGTTTGGGGATCGGGATGCCACTCTGCCCAACAGAGACATCCAGGCCCGCACGGCTTCCTTCCACGGAGAGGCTCAGCCCACACTCCCCAGCCCTGCCAGTTGCTCCAGCCTAGCAGCAGCCGAGGTAGCCAATGTGTCCCTCCCGCACACTCACGGGCACCGTGCCCAGGGTGGACAACGCGCCACCGAGGACACACCAGAGGCCGGGCACCGCTCCTGTGCGGGCAGCCTGCGGAGAGGTGTCCACATGGTTGCCCTTTGCAGCCAACGCAGGCCTGGGGACCCGCGCACGGCCTCACCCCGGGTGCCCCTGCCCGCCCTCCCGGGCCCGGAGCAGGGCAACGGACACTGGCTGCAGACCTGTGGACAAGGCAGAGGTGGGGAGAGGCGATCGGGAACACCGGGAGAGGCAGGGGGAGGTGGGGCGGGTTCTGGCTGTGGAGGGGGCACATGGGGAGAATGGGGGGATGGGAGCAGCGAGGAGGCCGCGGAGCCGGAGTACGGACTGCGATGGATGGGGGTGCGGCCCGGGGCCGCGAGCATAACGGGAGCCGGAAGGCCGAGGTCTGGGTTCAGGAGCGGTGAGGACGGGGTTCTGGAGCGCAGCCAACCCCTCTCCCGCCAGGGGCACGCGAGCGCCGGCCTCTCACCCTCTTGCCGGACCCGGGCCGCGCAACGGGCCGAAGTGCTGCTCCTGCGGCCGCCACAGGTGCCCGGCGCTGTGGCCCAAGATGGAGCCAGGCTGAACCCGCCCGGGCCTCAGACGGCGCCCGCAGCTGTCCCGCAGACCGCCCAGCGGGTGCGGGGCGGGGCAGGGCGGT